CCACTCTGGGCATTTATTCCCACGAGAATAAAACTTATATTCACACAAAACCTACCCACAGATCTTCATAACAGCCCCAAGCAGCCTAGATGTCCTTAAGCAGGTGATGGTTAACAAATCAGTCCAGCTGTGCGATGAAATATACTACCCAGCAACTGAAAAAGGACAAACTACTGATACACACAACCTGGCTAAGTCTTCTCCAGGGACTTGTGTGAAAAAGCCAACCCCCAGTGGTTACATATGGAATGAGTGCGTTTATAGAACCTTTGGAGTGAAGGGCAGATTAGTGGTGGCCAGGGTTTAGAGATGGAGTGGGGGGGGTGGGGGTGGGGGGCGGGGGCCATGTGTAGGATAAGAGTAGGTCGCTGCTGGAAGAAGCTTTGGCACCTAAACTCTGTATTATGTAGCTGAGGAAACCCGTGTCGAGAAATCACCTGGCCAAGGGCAGATGCTGGTGAGTGCCAGGAGGGGGACTGGGCCTGGGTCTCTGTCTCCTGGGTCATAACATGTATACTTGAAAATGGGACTCCAGAGCCTGGCAGGGTATGGTTTGAACCCCAGCTCTGCCAGAAAATTGTGTGACTTTGAGTGTGTTGCTTAACCTCTCTGAGTCTCTTGTTTCCGTATCTATAACATGGAGATGATACCTACTGCATGAGATCATCATCAGGATTATAACAAGTTATTTTCAAACTTTTTTTTTTTTTTTTTAGAATATACTTGCTTATTTTTTTTTTTTTTTTTTTTTTTTAGAGAGAATGGAGGGAGGGGAAAAAAGGGAGAGAAACACCAATGTGCAAGAGAAACATTGACTGGTTGCCTCTTGCACATCCCCTGTTGGGGACCTGGCCTGCAACCCAGGCACGTGCCCTGGCTGGGAATCAAACCAGCGACCTTTTGGTTCATAGGCCAACATTCAATCCACTGAGCCACACCAGCCAGGGCTTTAAACTTTTAAAGTACTAGTTACCATGTGAGAAATGCCTCATGTTCCATCAGAACTAATTAGTAAATACATGCAACTGAAATAAAAGCTTTATGAAATATACATATTACTATATATGGTATACTTTTTTTTTAAGAAGGTTTTATGTATTTATTTTTGGAGATAGGGGAAGAGCGGGAAATATCAATGTGTGATTGCTTCTTGTGCGACCCCTACTGGGGACCTGGCCCACAACCCAGGCCTGTGCCCTGACTGGAATTGAACCAGCGACATTTCAGTTTTCAGGCCAACACTCAATCCACTGAGCGACACTAGCCAGGGCTTATATTTAATTTTTTAATAGAGCTGGTCATGAGCCCCAAAATTAATTTCCTGACCTCTGGACTAAATGAAAATAAGACCTAGACAGTGCTGTAAATCAGTACCATGGACTTACTCTCTGAAGTTTACTCTGAGGTCCCTTGAGTTGGGCCCTCAGTAGGCACTTGGACCGGGTGGGGGGCGGGGGGTAGTGCAGGCCAGGCTCCCAGCACCTCCACATCCCTGGAGACCAGGTCAGCATGCTGCTCCTCACAGAGCTCTGTTTTCCCAGCTAGACTCAGAGCTTCTTGAGGGCAGCGAGGACCTTGCTCACTGTTTTATCCCCGGACCTGGCACAGTGCCCAGCCCCTGGAAGGCGTGGCGGGTACAGCGTGCACATGGGCTCAGGCACTCTGCTGTGCCCTGTTCCAAGGGCTCGCCGGGGTGTGATCGCACCTTGCTCGTGGGTGAAATGGGGCTGTGGTAACAGCATCTACCTCCAGGGGCCCTGGAAGGAAAGGTGGCTTCATGTGGGGTGAAGCCCCTTATGAAGCTGGTGGTGGTGGTTTTTGCCCCTACAAGAGCCTGTCAGACTGCAGGTGAGGGTGACATGGGGGTAAACTTGAATTTACTCTCCTTTTTAAAAATTTTAATTTGAAGAATCAGTAACAGAAAACTTGTCAGGGACTTTGAGCTGAATTCACCAGCATCGGTGTTTTGTGGCCCTGGGGTGAGAGTTACTGCTTAGAACAGGGGGAGCCTTTGTATTGCCTGTGGGAGAAAGCTCTTCAAACCCTCCGAGAACTGCAGAAACGGCCTCAGAAGGCCCCGCCGGGAGCCTGGGACCCAGCCGGGGCGCCAGAGGGCGCTTTCAGAGCCTGGCGAGGAAGGTCTGCGTTGCTGGCGCGCCTTGCTGGTGGTCCTCCCCAGCTGGCCGGCCCACCCGCTCCGGTCTTCGGCGTAGCCAGCGTGTCATCCGTGCTCTCGGGGAGGGGGGAGGGAGGGGGCTTTCGTTCCTTGGGCTTTTCTGAGGGGGGACGGGGTAACTGTTCCAGTTGATGAATATTGTAAAGTTGGGTATGCTCCACAGTAATACTTTGTTAGTATTTCTTTTGGGGGAAGAAAAAGGAAGACTTTCTCCTTACCTATTGACAAAAATGGGTCCAGCTGCCTTATTTTTTCCCCAAAAAATCATTATTGAAATTGGCAGAGTATTACTCTTCAGAAAGGCTTTCTCGTATTACAGTGTGAATGTTTCCATGGGAAGCTCATTTTTCCCATAGCCTGGGGGCTTCGCATAGGGTAGTGTGCAAGGCGAGTGCACGCGTGCATGCTAGAATTGAGCAAAGGTACCAGTAGAGGGAAATAGGACTGATTTTTCAGCACTTTTTCTTTTTTGTAGTTAAAGGATGGTAGTGGCCACAAAATGGGAGCTTCGCGGTGTCCTGTATGCCTCCCTCATTTGACCCCACTTCATCACGAAGACCGCGCAGGGCCCAGGCCCCAGGCCCCCGCCCCCGTCCGCGGAGTCAGGCCTTGTCGGTTTGCTGTCTGAGTGCCCAGTGCCCCCGCCTAGCTGCTGGCCTTCATGTTTAGGCACCAGGCGGGAATGTTTCCGAAGGGCATGAAGCCTTACCTCCCAGCCGCGGGCCGCGGCACTGCGTGGAGGGTGCAGATGGCGCACACCGACGGAGCGAAGTCTGGCTCTGTGCCGCCCCGCCCTGGTGCCCGGGCTCTCAGCGGCTGGTCTGCGTGCCCCCGGGGTGGCGGTGTGCGCGCCTCTGTTCCCAGTCTGGGAGCCCCTCCACTTGTCAGCAGAGCAGTTGGCTGTCAGAAATGACAGTGCATGTGTGGCCCCTGTGACATGTACTTTGCCAACAACAAGGAATTTTCTGTGATGAGCGCATTTCCGATGGCTTTTGACTGGGAGCCTTGTGACTGGTCTCCAGAATCTCATGAAGTTCTTCACAGGGGCATTGCCCTTTACTCTGTTTCCGTGGCTTTTCTGTCTGAAATAGCTGACGGTCATCAGCCCTGTGACAAGTCTGAGCACATAGCACAGCAGGCCGGAGCCAAGGGCTGGCCATGGTGCCCATGCCGGGCGTAGACGCCCCTCCCTTGGGCTCCCCTTGGCCTGAGGCGCTGACACCCTCCGCCTTCACCCGCGTCACCCCCAGAGGGGAGCCAGCAGGGAGGGCGGGAGCCGGCCTCAGCAGGGACAGCTGACCGCGCGGGCGCTCTGTCTGGACTTCCTCCTTCGTGCCCGCTGCCTTAGGGCGTGGCATCCTCTCCCACAGTGTCCGGGGCCAGGCGTGTGACGGGGATCTCCTTCCAAGCCGGCTGTTGTCCCATGTTCACGTGGAGCGGGAGTCGTGAACGCTGCCTGTCCTGGGCTCGCGTTTGTCATAATCAAACTGGACACGCAAAAAGAAACATTGAGGAGTCAATGAAAAACAGTTCTCTTATCCCTGAGATAAGCAGGTTAATAGTATATAATGTCAATGTTTTGGCTGCAGACCATTATCTTGCTATTGATCCAGAAGAATATGGTATTGACTCAGTAGTTTCATTTGCTTTTTGCTGGCATTTTTTCTCTAGGCACTTCCTTCTCCTTTTAAAATAGCAGGATCTGGCTTCTTACTGTTGGCTTTTTATCACCAGTTCCTGCCCAGTCAGAGAAAGACAGGGTTAAGTTTAAGCAGAAGGAAGAGCAATTGGAGTCCTGTATTTCAGATGCCACATCATGTCACTCTGTTCTGAAGTTGATGTCATTGATCCTTCTCACTTGTCTCCTGTCTCTCCTGCCGATAACTCCCCCCTGGGTCATTTTTGAATGCTCTTGTTAGCATATTGTAAGATTCATTCAGTTTCTCGTAATATGTTTAGAATTTATACTTTTTCATCATCATCTGACTGTGTGTCTCCAGGGTGGCATTTGCCAGAAGAGAATCCCTCCAGAACCCCCCTTGCGGATGGCAGTGAGGGAGACACGCTCACCGATGGCTGAGCAGGGGAAACAGAAACATGCAGTGGGACCCAAAGGGCTTTGTGGGGCTGGGTTTGCAGCGTTGGTTTTCGTTAGAAGAGCCTGTGAGACACCGCTGCCTCTGTGAAACGGCCTTGAAAGGCAGTCGCTCGTCCCCAGCGGCTCACATGGCCCACAGACCACAGTGGTGGGTCGGTGATGAGGCCCAAGGCGGGGCAGACCAGAACCTCTCCCTGAGGTTCGCGCTGCGGGCCGGTGGGTTGGGAGAATAGAGGGACGCTCCGTGGGGCGGCAAGAACACATGGGCCTGGCCGTGGTGACTGCAGCTGCCCTAGAGCAGTCCCTAACGGTGCCCCCCGGCGGGGGCGGGGGCGGGGGGTCAGACCTTCCCACTTGTCTCACAAAGAGAAAGAAGGAACCCTTGATGTCTTTGCACTGAGTGTAGATCTGAGCGGGAGTCGGAGCGGGGGAGGGATTTAGGCGAGCAGGATTTTCTCCCAGGCTCCTCAGCATGTGGACACACAGATCAATTTCTTATCCTGTGTTCAGCTGGACACTGGGCCAGAGACTGTGTTGATCAAGATGTCCCCTCCTGTTTCATATCATATAACGCATTCATTTCAGCCACTGAGCCTAAATTACTATTTGCTTTTTTTTCTGCCTTTCTTTTTTTTCCTCTTGAAATGGTAAGAACTTGTGTAAGGATGAAGTTAGTTTATCCGTGCTAATGCTTTGATTTTTCTTTTCTCTTTCTCTTTGCCACAGTAGGTAACCAGTTAGGGGCCTTGGTACATCAAAGGTAAGCAGTGGGTTATGTTTTATTATTTATTGATCATTTCTAATTGTTTATTGATCCACCATCTGTACTAGAGTGTTAGAAAGTCAGAGGTTGAGAGTGTGAACAACCGTCGGCTAGATTTAAGACTCAAGCATTTTGTAGCCTTTTCCTGAGACAGTATAAGCTCAAAGGATAAGCTAGCACAAGGTATTAAAAAATCAGCCACCAGTGTATGTAAACTTGAAAGACTTCAAGCATGTTGGAGCTGCCCCTTCTCCCCACATGCATTTAATTAAAATGGGAGAATGAAATTTTCCCTCCTGGTTTGATGGTTTTCCCAGTGTCTTGTACATTTTTAACCTCTTCACTTGAGAAAAGGGCGTCTTTGGTCCTCAGGGAACCATGAGCCTGGAAGGCCAGGAGCCTGGGTCCCCACCCCTGCCACAGTGATAGGGACTTGCCAGAGAACCTCAGATAAGTGCCCAGTTGATTCCCTGCCTCAGTTTCCCATCACAGCCTTCCCTGAAACGTTGTGGATTAGAAAGATGCAAACATCTCTGGTATTTAAAAAGACCAGACTGTCTTAAGACAGGGTATTTAAGGTCACAGTGTTACCTTTTACAAAGGATAAGATACACAGGGAAGTGTGCTTCAGTGTCTCCTTGTTCCCGATGGAACTGTGTGATTCGTACCCATCACCGTCACATGCTACCCTTAAGCTCCCCCGCAGTGACACATGTCCTCCTGCGCACTGCACAAATGGTCGGGAGAGTCTAGAAATTGCCAGGCATCGGCTAATCAAAAGATTTGACCTGGGTTTTTGTTACTTCCTTATTCGCTTTGTTTTTAGTGAATTAATTTAAATGAGGTAGCTTTCTTATAAAGCCATTATAAATCAGGGTTTTACTTTCCTGTATCATGTGTGTTAGACAAGTTTCAGCCATGTGTTTAGAATGTAGAGCTTTGTCTTGCTGGAGGCCCAGAGCAGTTCGTCTTCATGTGTTTCCTCCTCAAAGAGAGTCTGCTTAAATTGTCACTGAGCTCTGAGGGGCTGCCTGGGTTTTGTGACATTGTGTATTGTGAGAGTGTTGATCCCCTTCTAGTAAAATCCCCAGCAGTGTTTTCTGAGAATAGACAGTGTGTGCTGCACACGCGAGCGGCAGCCTCGTGGCTGCGCAGACGGGAGCGTGGCCACCCCTGCCCGGGGCCAGGAGACACGTCCCCACTGGGCCTGCGCCTGTTGCGGGAGGCGCCAGGTCAGCCGAGACTCGGCACCCACGCAGGCGGGGTCGCTGGTGAGGAAGCCCAGACTCGCCCGGTCTTGGGCTGAACCAAAGATCCAAGGGGCAGAGAGAATCTGTGGGCACACGTCAACCCGAGGCCGCACACCCCGCCAGGAGGAGACAGTTTGCCGCTGTTGCCACCGCGGCCCGGGGGCGAGCGCTACCTGTGCTGCAGCGTTTCTTCTCAGTGCTGCGCTTTCCCTAAAAACGTGCACCTCATTCAGTGCCTCCATGATGGGCGGAAACCCGGCTGTGTGAGAGGTGTTTGAAATGCTTGCCTTTTAAAAAAACTACTTGCGTTTAGTTTTCTCCCAAGATAAGTGTTTAGATTTAATTGCTTCCTAGGGTGTTGGGGAAATTGGATATCGTCCCTGGCCCACTATATGGCTAATCTGAAGGTACGAGCAAGAGAGCCTGCGCAGGAGTTGTTTAAAAGAAGGAAAGGGAGAAAGTGCGTTATGGGAGGGAGAGCCCTCGACAGAGGTGCCCTGCGGGGTAGCTGAGGTCATGGTCCTGTCTAGGTCAGCACCGACTAGGCCTCCGCTGGAGGCCTGCTCCCCTGGGGCATCGCACCCTAAAAATTAGGAGAAAAGCAGCACAGAGGGGGGTGTTGGAGAGAAGTCGAGTATCCCTGCATCTGGAGAGGACCCCGGGAAGAAGCCTGAATTCCCCCCACACCCCACAGGGTCTCTGAGTGACCGTTCAGGACTTAGCTGGGCTCCTGGGCCTCCCTGCTGGGTGAAGAAAAGGCAGTTGTGAGAGGAGTCACTGGTTTGAATGAAAACCCAGGTGTCCCTTCCTCTGACACAGGCGATGGAGACGTGGTCTTTTCAGGGAGCGACTGGCCAAAAAGTTCAGGAGACGATGCTCTTAGTAGGTGGTTGTGGGCTTGTTGGCCAAGTTGGCATGATTTCTTTTAAGCCTTTCTTTATCTTCCAACATGGCCACTATGGGAAATTTGGGGAACCTTAAATGGCTACAGAATTTTTCTATATCTTTTTCCAAATGTTCTTTGTTTTTAGGGCAGTCATAACAGAAGAATTCAAAGTGCCTGATAAAATGGTTGGCTTTAGTAAGTATCCACATGTTGCGCTTTGCCCATTTCCTGTCTGTCCTTTCCATTGCACTCTCCCCATGGGAGTGTCACTTGTGGCGGGACTCTCTTGCACACTGTGCCCTGGAGTCTCCGAGCCCCGCAGGCCTCTGTCCAAGCCAAGGCCAGCCGCGCCCTTGCCCGCTGCAACGGGGGCACCTCTGTCCGCTACGCTTCATGCCCGGTTTCCACGGCCTCCTGCGGCCGTGGGGCTGTTTGTTGAATGACGTGTTCCATGCATGGTTGAATGTGGAATGGGGGGCACAGTCTGACCCTGTTCAATCTGTTTCAGTTATTGGCAGGGGAGGTGAGCAGATTTCACGGATTCAAGCAGAATCTGGTTGCAAAATTCAGATTGCCTCAGGTAAGGGTTTCCTTGCTTGTAGATCTCGGTTTGGTAGACATCGATATTTTGTAAAGTTTTCCAGATTCAGTACTTTGCTTGTTGCTAGAAGTATAGGAACGCGGGTAAGTATGCACGACTGCCGTCTCCCTTGCGTTTTTGGAGCTGGACTCCCAGATGAGGACCAGAGCAGAAGCTGGCTCAGACGGGCCCGCCCCCGGCCTCGTGGGGGGTCCTGCACAGTTCTGTGGCTCCGCACGGCCTCTCCCGAACACCTGCCGCTCTAGGACCTCTGTTTTCTGCACCAGAATGTTATGCCAGATTTAGTGGGGCCACTAGGAGTCACGTGGCTTTGGGGTTACTCCTGGGGACTGCTCACAGCGCCCCTGGATCAGGCCGCCCCTGCCCTTTGTGGGAGGAGGCCAGCTGGGGGCTCTGGCTGAATTAGCACACAGCGAGCACGGCTCAGGACCCTTCCCAGCAGACTCCGTTTTGACTGTGCAGTGTGGAGAGAGACAGACTAAGGAGGAAGAGTTTGCATTTTAATTATAGTTTCACCATCTAATTCGCGTTTGACCTCTGTCTATAGTGGAGGAGGAGGTTTGAAGGACATTTACTAAAGAAATTTTTGTCATTTTAAAAGACACTATAGTGTCCTGAAGGCAGTAACTGCTGTTGGCTAGCTCTCTTTCTGAGAATTTTAAGAGGCAGTGTTTTTAGGAACAAAGTAAAGTGTCATGTGTGGTGTTGCAAAATAAAACTGTCCTCTCTTGTCAAATGGCCCGGAACCAGTTCCACATAAATGTCACCGATCTCTGGGGATATCCATGCAATAACTGATGGTAGCCCTAACGTGCACACCCTGAACGTTCTCACTAGGGCGCCTCAGAGCCGTGTGCACACAAGTGACCAGTAAACTGCTCTGTAGATGGAGGAACTGAGGAACAGCGGGTCGATTACGGGACTCGAGCACCTCCTGGCTGAAGCCGGTCATTAGGGCCCACCCACAGACCTCTGCTGCGCTCACCTCCCGTCCCCCGGGACTCGTTTCCACTGCGAGACTCCTAGGGCGGGGCTGCCAGCTTCAGGTTCTCTCCACAAGTGAAGCAAACTGTCCTTTCCCGGGAGCCTGGGCCTCTGTGGGGCCGGGGCAGGCGCCAGCCCAGAGAGCCAGCCTTTCACGGAGGCCGGGGCGAGCTTGCCTGATGCCCACCCACACACCTCATCTTCTTGATTCTTCTTATAGAGAGTTCTGGGATTCCAGAGAGGCCCTGTGTACTTACCGGAACCCCAGAAAGTATTGAGTAAGTTTGTTTTATTTACTTTTTCCTTTCACTCTTCTTCCTCCTTCCCCAAATGGGGAGAAATGGAAGGGCAGCCTGTCCCTGAACACTGTTGCCCGGCACTGCCGTCCGGCCGCACCAGCAGGCGCTTCTGCAGGGAAGGGTCTCAGGTGGCCGCCACATCAGGGGAGCTTCTCTGCCACCTTAAGCACACACGGCATCTCCTTTGTCAAAAGCCCCCAGAATTCCTCACAGCTGCGGTGCACCTGCTCCGCGCACCAGGCCCTAAGGAGCGTAGGGTCAGCCCGCCCGAATGCTCAGCAGCCCACCTCTTCCTTGGGGACACTGCCTTTCCCTGAACGGGTCTGGATTAGCGAGCCTCTCCCTTTGCAAACCATTGAGAGTCCTGGTACCAGGTCCTCTCCTGGGGCTGATCCCCTTACCCTTCTGATACCTGTGAGCCGGATGGAATGGACTCTTGCTGGCCATGGCTGCATTCCGAGGGCCATGGGGACTGGCCAGAGTGGGTACTGACTTCGGGGGTCCTTGGGACAGCCTGGAGACCGGCGTTCCCTCCCCACCGGTGCACAAGTGCTCAGAGCCTCGGGCGGGGCAGGCCTCCTCAGCGCCGACTGGCCCTGTCCCCGCCAGCCTGCTGAGAGCGGAGGCGCTGGGGGGAGGGGTGCTGAGACTACGTCTGGCTCAATAGGTAGGGCTCTTTTATTGTTTCCATTTCTCTGGGAGCCTAGATGAGTTCAAATTCTCTTGTTTTGCTGTAACATTGTAGGCAGTGAACCAGAATAAACAACTCTGGCAGGTGTGCATTACAGGGCAAGCGAGATGGTTTTGCTGGAGGCAAGGCGTTTTTCTCCCAGCGCCAGTTAATCTAGTACACAAGCAAAATACTAAAAGCCGCTGTAACTGAGAAGATACACGAGGCTGCTTCTGTACACAAAGGCTCCAGGCCACAAAGGGCGACATCTATTTCCTGCCTTTCTCTTCTTTCTTCCTACCCTTCTATTCCTGCTTCCTGTTCTGCCCAAACCAAGGAGGCCACGGGATTATAAATTTGAGAAGAAACAATTTTGCTTCCTTCAGTACACAGTACAGCCAGCCTGTTCAGTAGCCGAATCCTTTCCTATTAAAGGAACCAAAAAGATTCTACATAGTGATTTGAAGAATAAATAATGCATATAACAGCCAGGGGAGATTCTGGTGCAGAAAAGGAAATTGGCCCGACAGATGACCTTGGTGGGCTGGGTTGCACTGTTGCAACATTGTAGCTTTCCTGCTCCACCTCCAAGTAAATCAGCACAAAATAGCACTGCATGTGAAAGGCCAGGGCCCTGCTGCCCAGTGGAAGCACAAAGCAGGTGGCTGCGGCTGCAGGCTGCGTGAGGGCATTGCCGCCACCTCTTTCCATCCCTTGGAACCAAAACGGTGATTCGTAGCCTCAGCGCAAAAGTCCTAGAGCAGCCTGGTGGCCGACGGAGAAGAAATTTGGAGTTTGGGAATTCAAACGACGACTACTAACCCTCGCTTTCTTTCTTCCCATCTTTCTCATTGCTCTCTCTCTCTTGCTCCTACTTAACACATGTCTGTCAGGTGTACGCTCTGGATTGGGGATGCAGAGGGTGCAAAGGCGTCTCTGCCACCAGAGCCGCTGACTCTCCGATAGGACAAGAGACGTGTTTATGGAGAGCATGCGAGACACACACACAGGCAGAGGGCAGACTGGTGCGGGGTGGGGCGGGGGGGCATCTGTGTCGCAATGTTGGTATCGTGTGTGTTGCTTTTAAATTCCAGCCCAGTAACGTGGCCGATGGCAGCGACCTCCCGGGTTGGGGCAGAGCTGGCGTTGGATGGAGGGCTGCCTTGACTCCTCCGTGTTTTCCCCCGGGTGCTGTTTCCCTTCTGTGGGTACCGGGGACGTTCATTTAATGCTGGTTTCCCTGTGGTTCTTTTCCCTCCCAAAGACTAGCCAAACGGCTCCTGGGGCAGATCGTGGACCGCTGTCGGAACGGACCGGGCTTCCACAACGACATAGATGGCAGCAACACCATCCAGGAGGTCCTCATCCCTGCATCCAAAGTGGGGCTGGTCATTGGCAAAGGAGGGGAAACCATCAAGCAGCTGCAGGTGCGTGGACCTTAACGAAGATGGTCCTCTTCCTCCCCGTGGGAGGTGGCGGGGGGGGTCTTGTCGTAGCTCGGACCTCCCCCCCGTTGACCTTGCTGTGCCTCCCACAGGCCAGAGCTCCCCTCAGAGCCCTGCCCCCGTGGGTGCACGGACATCCATGTAGCCAGGCCTGCTGCCAGGCGTGATGCCGGTCCTGAGCCCCCTTGAACTTGAAGCAGCCATGGCGGCAGTCAGGCTCCGTTACCATCAGATGACAGCATCTCAGATACAAATGCTGTGTCTGGAGCCAGCAGCCCTTCCCTCCTTAGTGCCCTGGGCTAAACGTGTCTGTGCGCTTCTCGCGGGGCCCAGGGCCTCGCCCGTGGGACAGGGAAGCGCCAGCCTCACTGGTAACGATGCCGAAGTAACACCCATGATTGTATGTTTACATGAGACCCTTCGCACCGAGCCTGGGGCCCAGCAGGTGCTGCCATTGGCTCCAGGATCCCTCACCCGAGATACAAGGGGCCCAACGTGTTTCAGAATTGGTCACCCCCGGCAAGCCCCAGGGCTGCACTCTGTGACTGTGCATGTTTGCGTGGCTGAACGTAATAATAGTAACACTCAGAGTGACCAGAAACATGCTTACATGAGTTCAGGTAGTTTTGCTGCCAAATTACTTATGAACAAATCTATTTCAGAGCTTTGGGGCTTCTGAGGGTGCAGGTGGGGGTTGTGACCTACCCACGGGCTCTCTCCTGGCCCAGTCCTCGGACTGGGAAGGCACGTTACTGTGGACTTGAGGAGTCCAGGGTTTAGACTTCCAGAATTAAAACGTTGCCCTGCCCCCACCCCACACCCACCTCTGGACAGCTCGGGGGCAGCCTGCTGTCTGAGCCTCCTCACCAGCAGGACGGGAGCCTGCCTCACAGAGCCGCGCGCAGGCCCTGACTGGGTGCCCTTAGCGCGGGCAATCCAGGAGAGCTCCTGTGCACGCGGGTGTGCTGGCGGCTGGAGGGGGAGAGGAGAGCCTGGGATGCGGCCCCTCTGTCGCACGGGGGAGCTCCCTGGCACGGCCTATGCATTGGCATTCCCGGGCCAGGGCAGGGGGCCGTGTCTTGTGGTAGGCAGATGTGGCCGGGCCCCAAGTGGCGTCCTGTGCCCTCCTGCATGCCCCTCCCCGGCAGTGAGGCCTGTCCCGGTGTGTGCACCTCCACAGGAGCGGACGGGTGTGAAAATGGTCATGATCCAGGACGGCCCGTTGCCTACGGGAGCAGACAAGCCTCTCCGCATGACGGGAGACCCGTTTAAAGTGCAGGTAGGGGAGAGGCTGGGTTGGGCAGGTCCTGGGTGTGGGGGCGTCGCTCTGTCTTAACTCAGTGTTTTATGTCTGTCAAGAAGTTACAGAACCGGGCGTTCTTTTGGCTGAGGTAAGCTGCTTTCCCTGACCGTTGGATGCTGGAACAGTCTAGGGTTGTGTTGCCCAGCACCAGAGCCACGGGCCATGTGCGGCTAGCTGTTCAGTGCGAGCTAACTAAAAACTGAGTTCCTCATTCACACTGGCCGCATTTCAAGTGCTCAAGAGCCACACAAGAATGGTGGCTACTGTCATGGGCAGTGTGTATTCGGAACATTCCCGTAAACGCAGAAGGCTTTGTTGGCTGGCGAAGCGCTGAGCAGATGCAGTTTTCAACTTGCTACCTGTGGTCAGCTCAGATGCAGGCTCCGCTGGCTTTTATTGGCCTGCTCCCTCCCTTCTCTCTCCCTCTCTCTCTCTTTTTCTCTCTCAGCCTGTTTTTTGCAAGATTTGCAGCTGGGGTAGGAGGTAAGCAAAGGTACTGGCCAGGACACCGCCGGGTATATGTGTGTCCTCCTAGCAAGTGTCCTGTGTCCCGGGCTCCCGGCCGCAGTTGCTGAAAGCAGTGAGGGGCTTGGTCTTACGTCCCCTGGGGTAGGCCGCCCTGCAGCTCTTGCTGCCAGCAGGGGCGTGTGTGGGCTGTGGGGTGGGGTGTGTCTGTGCCCGAGAAACCCCGACCACTCTTTGCCACCGCCGCCCCGCAGCTGCCTTGCCTTAGCTGCATTTAGGGTAGCCCCAGGGCCACGCTCATTGGTGAGCCAGTCCACCAGTGACAGCTGTTCCTCCATCGGAGCTTTGGGGCTTTGGTGAAGTGGAGGTTACCAGCCTCCGGCAAAATATTTCCCCCAGTTCTTAACACCGTCATTCGGCTGAACTCCAGTTCATACTGTTTTTCACGGCACATACATAAAAGAACGGTTTCAAAACCGGATTGAGGGAGAGGATTAAAATGGCCTTTCCCCTTCGCCCCCGTCACTGAAGTGGCCTTCATTCCCCACCTGTGCCCTCCTCCCCGGAGTTCTAGGCTGTTTGAACGTAAACAGGAGGGGAATTTATAAAAATCAAATGGCATCTCACCTTTCTGCGCTTGGCTCATCCAGACCGGCTGGTGGACTCCATGGCCATGACACCAGGGAACTCTCTGGAAGGCATTGGAGGGCCAGCCTGCGGGCGGGTGCTGGGCTGTGGAGCGCCCACCCCCAGCAGCCCTCCCCACCTGCCTCCTCTCTTGGAACCTTTGGTTTTAGTTTTGTTAGAAAAAATACCCAAGCAAAGAGCTCATTTCATTGATGTTTCATGAATTTGCAGGAAATTAATTGTAAATTTTTAATGTCTTCCACATATTTTATTTGGGAGAAGTTATTTAGGGTGAGTTGTTTTAGGTTTTTCTGTGTGGGTTTTGTGTGTGTGTGTGTGTGTGTGTGTGTGTGTGTCTCCAACTTTTTATTATGAAAAACTTCAAATATCTAGAAATGCTGCAAAGACAGTACGACATATACCTGTATACCTCCATTGTACCTATCCTCTTGCCAGTGTACACATGCATTTGTTTGTTTATTTTACTTTACCATTTATGGGGAAGTGGCCAGAAATTATGACTCTCCACACCTAAATCCTAAGAATAAGGGCCTTCTGCTGTAAAACCAGGGCAGAGAAATAACAGTAATCCCGAACCATCTAAGCCAATCCGTATTCAGGTTTCCCTAAGTGTCCTAAGATTTTAATTGGTGTTGGGGGTGCAGGTGTGAGGGTTTGTTTTGGTTTGGTTTGGTTTGGTTTTTCCAGAACCAGGATTCGGTCTGCGTTCCCACGTGAACTTGAGTTGTGATGTGCAGTTAGTTGACCCTTAGTGTAGGTTCTGGGGGGGCGGGGCCGGGGTAGGCAGGCCAGGCTGATTTAAATATGTCCTTTGGGGAGAGGGCGCTGAGCGTGCCTTGGAGACAGTCAGGTCTGAGGGCGGTGTTGCCAGTCAGTAACTGGGACACTGGCTCTCAGAAGGCAGGAGGTCACTCTCGGGCTCCAGGGTTTGCCTTTCCCCTTGGACACTTTGGTAATGTCTTCTTTCTGGAACCTGCCCAGTCAGAGCCCCACTAACAAAGGGCAAGCTGGAAACCCTCTGGGCGACTTGTCGAGTTCGGGCCCGGGACAAATGTGCTGGCCCTACTGCAGCCTGGAAGAGGGCGGACCCTTTCCTGGGCATTTTGGGCGGTGTGAACAACGTGTCGTTTGGGATGTGACGTACGCGACTCCCATCAGCAGCCTGCCCCTTCCCATGTAATGGTAGTGTAATAAGGGGCTTCTCCCGCAGCCGAGTGCCTTCTGAGTCTTTAAGCCCAACCTGGTTTGACCTTGAAATTTCACCTGGTGTCATATCTTTTCTTTTTTGGAGTGGGGGGGATTTTGTTTTTCATAATGTCTTTTATCTGTGTTTATGCAGCAAGCAAGAGAAATGGTATTAGAGATCATCCGAGAAAAAGACCAAGGTGACTTTCGAGGTGTGCGCAGTGACTTCGCCTCCCGAGCGGGAGGAGGCAGTATAGAGGTATGCTCACACTGCGGGTTAGCAGGCAAATGAGATCAGGGTTAGGGTCGTAGGTCACACATCTGTTGGCACTTTAACCTTAAGCAAGTTCTTGAATTTTTGTCTCGTCTGTGAAATCTCCAAGGATGCTTGCTTCTCAGAGTGGGCATGGGGACAGACTGGGGCAGTCAGCCTGGGGAGGGAGCCAGCTGCATGCCTTTCAGGGCCTGGGGCCATCCTCCTGGCTCTGAAGTTTTGCTTCAGAGTTTACGCTGCTGCCCAGGTGAAGGCCAGAGTCCAAGTTTTCTTGGTGATCTGTGTTGTGATTGTGTCAGATTTAGAAGCCAGATTTATTGGTGAGGTGGGATGGGGTCAAAATCTATGCTTTAGAATTTTTAAAAAATTGATTGCTAGAGAGAAACGTTGATTTGTTGTTCCACTTATTTATGCATTTATTGGTTGATTCTTGTGTACTGGGGATTGAACCTACAACCTTGGTGTATCGGGACAGTGCTCTAACCAACTGAGCTACCTGGCCAGGGCTAAAATGAAATTTTCTAATCTGCTACAGTTGGGTGGACCTTACAAGCATTATGCTTATGTAATAAGCGAGATACAGGACAAATACTGTGCGATTCCACTTAATATCTAGAATAGGCCAATCCATAGAGATGGAAAACAGAGTGGAGGTTCCCAGGGGCTGGAGAAAGCAGGAGCTACTATTTAATGTATACAAAGGTTTTATGGGGGCGATGAGAAGGTTTGGGGTATAGCTAGCTGGGAAGTTACATGATATTGTAACTGTATTTGATGCCACTGAATTGTATAATTATGAATGGCTAAGATGGTAAAAATATTATGTATAATTTACCACAATGAAAAAATATTTTAAAGAACCACTAGCAAAATGAATGTGTATGGTATATTTATGCTTATTTCATAAAATTTGGAATATAATTTGTCATTTTTAATCTTTTATCTATTTCTAAGGTTTTTTTCATGTTTTTCTTGATTTTTATAATTATTTTGATCAAATCTCAGACTTTCTGAATGCATTTAATGGACAGAAATGCAATCACTAACCACAGTATTGTTCTTAAAAGGAAAAAAAAAGCTTTATTATATCACTTCCAAGAATGTAGTGCAATAAAACTCAAGTCTCTCACATGCACACACACATGCCCACACGCACCCCCCCCCCACGCACACGCGCACGCACACGCGCACGCCCGCAGAGCGAAGCCAGGCTTGCCGAGAGCTCTGACGAGGTTCTGTCTCTCTGTGCTTAGGTGTCTGTGCCTAGGTTTGCTGTCGGGATTGTAATAGGAAGAAATGGGGAAATGATCAAAAAGATCCAGAATGATGCTGGTGTGAGGATTCAGTTCAAACCAGGTTAGTTTTGATCATTTTCAAAAATCTTGTAATTATAAAGCACCTCACAAAACAAGGGCTTTGCTGCTAGCCCGTTTGTGTCCTGCCCTCTCTCTCCCCATTCCCCCCCCCCCGCCCCCCGCTGCCTCTCCCCCATCTCTCTCTCTCTCTCTCTGCTGCTCCAATCCAGGTTCCTCCTCCAGGCCCTTGTTTCTTTCTTTGCACCTGCTGGTCCAGTTGCCCTCGCTGTGCCTGAGCGCTCTGGCCTGGGGTTTCCAGGGCCTCCCGCTCTCTCCCCCTTAGACTAGTAAAACTGGGAATAATCAGCATAGCTTTTCTAGCTTTCAATTTGCTACCGAAAGACTTTTTTTTAAAAAATCTGTTATTTTGTCCTGACCAGGTTGCTCAGTTGGTTAGAATATCATCCCCATACGCCAAGATTGTGGGTTCGATCCCTGGTCAGGTCACATAGAAGGAACCAGTGAATGTATAAATAACTGGAACAACAAATGGATGTCTTTCTCTCTCTCTCGCCATCTCTCCCCCTTCCTTTCTCACTCTAAAATCAATAAGTTTTTTTAAAAAATAAAGTGTTGTTTTGATTTCATAAATTAAAGGTAACTTAAAATCATAAAAAAGGACAAACATTTTAGACTAAAGAACAGTTCTTTAAATTCTGTTAGTTTATAAGGAAAATTATCTACAGGGTCTTTATTTTCCTCATTTCTCTAAAGATGGAAAAATACCATGATGGACTGATTTTTGGAAAACATTGTCATAGCTCACCTTTGTTTTCCTTGGCTTTTGTTCGTTTGTTTGTTACTTCTTGGCTTTGTTTCTTTAATGAGATCGCCTTTAAATGTCTATAATTGCGCAGGTATTGGCATGGGCCATGCAGAAAGGTGTTGCTATGCACCTCTCCCTAGCCAAAGGGACCCTAATCTGGTAACGTCTCACTGCACCTTTGGCCTTGGCAGGAATATTGATTGCAAGTCAGACTGACCTTGTCTCTCTTAGGTTGGGCTTTGTTAACTCCACCTCTCATCTTGTTCCACAGACGACGGTATTAGTCCAGAGAGAGCTGCGCAGGTCATGGGACCCCCCGACCGATGTCAGCACGCAGCTCATGTCATCAACGAGCTTATTCTTACAGCCCAGGTGGGTCCGGCTCTGGATTCAGATAGCTCGTGGGCTGTAGCAGCAGGTACCACACAGGGCTTTGGGGCGGCACCTGGAGCGGCCCCTCCAGTCGCCTTGGGAGCCAGCACCAATCGGTTACCTCCCTCCAGGTTCAGGCCGGTTGTTGCACTGCAGTGCCTCTTTCTTGCTAGTTTGTCGCTCTTCTACCTTTATCACAGTGTCCAGGTTTTCTGACTATTTAACGGTGCAGATCACCAAGTTTCAAACAGTTGAATGCACTTAATTTAAAATTCTAAGCAAAATCTAAACCTAGCTTTAGAAAGCACTTCAGTATCCCCCAGAGTCCTAGTGCCGTCTTCGGCACCGGGTCCCCTGCACGCCTTTGCTCAGGACGTGAGTGGGCTCATGTGCCGTTGGTAGCCACTCCCCCGCCCTGTGCCAGGTGCTCTGGGGAACCGCTGCAGCTGGTGGTAGGGTGCCTGCCCCACCCCCACTCCCACCCCCACCCCCGGCACGTAGGGCAAGACAGTGTGAGAATGATGGGAGTCGAAGCGAAGCAGGCGGTTGGGAAGGGCCGTTGTCCCCGCTCTGCCACTAGCTGTGTGGCTTTGGATGAGTCTTTGAACTTCTCCAGGCCAAGTGTTCTCAGCAGCAAACAGGGTTTTGCACCAGATCACCTACTTCACCTGGGAGTACGTGCTGAAGGAGCACATTTGTAGCCCCCTCCCCAGATCTACTGAGTCAGAACATCCAAGGTGGGCTTGGGTGTCAGCTAGAGTCTCAGGCAAACCTTAGGGTTAGACAAGTTCTGGAAAGAGTCACTAAATGAATCCCTCCCCTCCTTTTTTGTAGTAAGGGCTCGTGAACCCAGAGCTGCAAAGGCCGAGATGGTTCAGAGGTAGCCTGGGCCTGGAAGCTCTGGCACCCCCAGCAGACCAGCTGCGGGCCTGCCTGTGCCTCAGCAGCAGTCTCAAAGTGGCCTTGTTTACTTGTCATTTGTCTCTCCTGAAAGTGGAGTGCAGGGAGAAAGCCTCTAACTCTCTCTGCTTTCTGCTGGTTTAGATTCTGGGTAAACGTTCCGTTTTCTCTTAATGGATAGGAGTGGGCTTTATCAAACCTTTCTTCACCACGTTGAGCCTCTGCTCAGCTTCTCCCTCCTTTGAAAGCAGCACTCAGCTTGACTAGGTTTTCCCTCCATATTTCAAAGATTTTAATGCTGCAGCTCCAAAGGGACTCAGGACAAAGCCTGGAATGAGATGTGTTGCCCTCAAATGACACAAATCGTGGTCCGCTGGGTACCGGGCCTGGGCTTTGCTCCCGCCGGGTCGGGGACAGGGTGAGGGTGGGTCAGGGGCCGCCGCAGCCCCGCACCGTGTGCTGCAGCCTGGCCGGTTCCCTGCCTCTGTTGGGGAGTGGGACAACTGGGTGTCCTTTCAAGTCCTTTATCCTTTGTGCTGGTTAAGGTGCGAGGTGTTCTGACTCACGTAGCAGTGTGAATCGTTCTTTATAGCATCCTGGTCAGGGGAGGGTTAGAAGTCATGCATTGTCACTCACGTGTCACTTCAAACGACCCTGGCTTTTTGGCAGCTACTGACTGGCTTCTGATAGGCCCAGCATGTGTTCACCCTGGGAAAGGGTGGCCTCAGCGCTGAGAGGCAGGCCCACCCCTGACCCCGTAGGTCAGGGCCCGTAATGTGGAGTCTGGAGGAAGGGCACTGGGCCTCGGGCCAAGGGGGCGCCATGTGGCCGCCGTTCTCCTCGGGTCTGTGTGTGCCACGTGACCGTGCGCACTTACCGGCGCACGTGCCCCGAGCATGCCCGTGCCTTGCGTTCGTTCTGCCTCTAAAGAGCACTTCAGACGCCGAGGTGCGAGTGGCGCTCAGGTTCTGGTGTGTGGCAGTGGCGACGTCCTGTCCCTAACCCCCTCCCTGGGGATGAAAAGTGCTGGTGGCAGTGGCAGGAATACTCACTTAAGCTTTGCTTCTTCCCCAGGAAAGGGACGGCTTCGGCGGCCTCGCGGCGGCCAGAGGACGCGGCCGGGGCCGTGGTGACTGGAGTCTGGGAGCCCCCGGGGGCCTCCAGGAGATAACGTGCACGGTGCCAGCCGACAAGTGCGGCCTCGTAATCGGCAAAGGTAGGGCGGCCGCCGGGTGTGCGCCTGGGACACGGTGGGGGCCTCCTGGGGGCGGGGCGGGGCGTGTGCGCCCGTGAAGAGGAAGACCCACGCCTCTCGAAGCAGCGCGGTTGCTGCGCTGGCTGCCTGTGTGCCTGGCAGCCGGTTGGCGACAGACTCGCCTCCCGGACCCTTAGAAGCGTGGCCGAGGTAACTTCCTTGAGGAGATGGAGGCTGGTTTCTGGCAAACGCGCCACTTTTTTCCTTACTGGATTTGGGCGTTTGGTCTGTATTGACATAACACGTGAAAGTGGTTTTTATCCTTTCAACACATTTACCATGAGTAACAGACACCCTGTGGAGGGAAATAAAAATTGATTTACTAGTTGTTTCTAGGCATTTTAGAGAAAACTAGGTAAAAACCCTTGTTCATGGCTGCTCTGCTCCTTCCCACTTTTCAGTGAGAAGCAAAGAAGGGGGCAGGCAGGTTTCTAGGCCATTGGGGCTGGTTCGCCTGGGCTGGCCTTGCCTTAAAACCAAGAAAGGCCACTGAGAGCCCCAGCTGGTGTGGCTCAGTGGACTGAGCGCAGGCCTGCAAACCAGAGGGTCGCTGGTTTGATTCCCAGTTAGGGCACATGCCTAGGTTGTGTGCCAGGTCCCCAATTAGGGGTGTGCAAGAGGCAACCGGTCGATGTTTCCCTCTCTTTCTCTCCCTCCCTTCCCTTTTCTCTGAAAATAAATAAATAAAATCTTTTTTAAAAAGGCTGCTGAGAGCAGGTCTGTGGTTCACCAGGCCATTCCCCAGCACTGGCCCCTGGCCCCCAGCTGCTGCTCAGCCTCCCTCTGTATTCCAAGCACAGTCTTGGCACCGATAGGGGACTCTTTGGTGTTGGGTGTTGTATCTGAGGAGATAATATTCTCCTCCCCTAGAGTTTCTCCAGTTTCTGTGCTCACCAGACATCTCTTCGCTGTATGTGTTGGGGGTGGGTGCTTGTTGTTCTGCGGAGTGTGGTTTGGGAGTGCGTCCCACAGCAGCAAGCCGAGGCTGTCGCCGCGCATCCCCACGAGCGGGCGCGGGCAGGAACTGCCTGTGGACAGCGTGTTGTATGCGCTCTCACAACACTTATCTCCTGTATCTGTGTGATCTCAGATTCTCAGAGGCGGTAGGAACAGTGTTTTAATTTTCTGGCAGGGTGTCCATGCCGATAAGTGTTGGTGGCCTTGTTAGCTGCCCAAATGCTGTGATCGGTAAGAAACTGCTCAGCCCTGTGCCCTGATGGCTGCGAGAGTCTGCTCCGCTGACGCCTGTGGGCTGAGAGGCGGGCACAGGTTCTGTGTCTTGTGAGAACCGCTGTTACCATCATGGTTTTCCTGTGGGCATGCGTCTCCTCTAGGCACTGGCAGAGCCCGGCCACCTTCACCGTGACAGTGCTCGTGAGGCACGGAGACCTCGGTGTCCACAGGACAGCCTCTCTCAGCTCACCCTCTGCGGAGGCAGCCCGGGTGACCCCCAGAGGGAAGTGTGACAACGGAGGATGCTGTCACTGTCCCGCGCTCCAGCTGCAGCCTGGAGAAGGCCAGAAAAGTTCTGTGGGAGGGTGGGGGGCTCTCTGTACCCACCCCCCACCGCCAGGGCTGGACAGGAGGCGCTGCCCCTCCTGGGAAAGATGCGTGGCTGGGGGCGGACAGCGGGGGAGGGGAGGGCGCCACCCGCAGCCGGGCCCTGCTCCCTGGCTCCAGCCCTGGGACAGACGCCCGCCTCCCGGGCCCCGCTGGATTTCCATGATAAATACAGCAGCAGTGACAGATAGTGTGGCCAGCCCTGCTCCTGTCAGCCAGGCCTTTTAGCAGGTTTGATTAATTGCTTTACGATTTCACAACCGGCCAGGGGGGCCACTGGTAGGTCACTTCTGCCCCCCATCAGGTGGAAGAATGGAGCAGGCTGCCTGAATGAGTTGCAGGCAGCCACCATGTGCCAAGCTGGTGACCTCATTTTGAAGGAAGATAAACTTAAATTAACTCCTTCCGGCCCCGTGCAGTTCCGTTGGGCCTCCTCACCTGACCAGCACGCCCCTGAGGCCTTGGGAGAGGGGCTCTGGGTCTGCTGGGCTGCGTGCCCAGTGGATAGAGGGGCCTGGTCTGGGCCTGCGGGGGCCTCGTCTCAGACACGCGCACCCTTTCTGCTCCGCCCCACGGTCGCGTGGCGGGGAGCGGGGGAGGAGGCAGGCAGTGCTGTGGAGCGGTCTCCGCTGCACCTTTGCTCTCCGAGGCTTCCCAGACACTCCATTGCCCCGAGGAGAGAGGCTGGTCACTTCAGGTGCAGAGATCAGGTTCGGCCCCTGTGGGTGAAGGCCAGTAGTGATAGGCCCCGGGGCTTTCTGCATTGGTCCCTGCTGTCCCCGAGGCCAATGTGTTTGCTCAGGGTAGAACGCGTAGGGCCACTTTCCTTAAACTGTCTCAGAGCTTGAAGGAAATTGTGCACATAAGACTTCCGTCTGTTGAGTCCTTTTTTAAATTTGCTTTTAAATGTAAAACCACCCTACACTAAACCAACTTGCCACCCAAGCCAGATGCTGAGCAATGCTTCATCCGAGCGCCCACCGTCCCTGGGCTCCTTCCCAGGGCTTGGGGGCTGCTCACGTCGCCTGCAGGAAGGACTGCAGGCCCGAGGCCCCAGCTTTGCTGCTTGGCCCCTGGAGAGTCCCCTGGAGAGGACAGGTGTCCTTAGGCACCGCCTCCTTGGCCGGGCGTTCATTCAGCCCAGGCCTCCCCTGGGTGGAGTGGAGGCTGGAGTGTTTGAAGGCTTATGGGCATGTTACAAGGAAATAACACATACCCTGTGAGGTTAGTTTGGACTCCGATGCGGGGTGGAGGGGGGGTGACACAGACACTGGCCTTCAGTTGTCACTTTGGATTTTTCGGGGCTCCCTGACCCCCTGCACCAGATTTTCCACAGATTGTCTTTTTCCAGTCTTGCAAAAACTGCTACAAGTTTTCCTCGTATTCTGGCTCCCCCACCCCAGTTGTGTATAGCGGGTCTGTAAGTTCTGCAAGTTCTGCGAAGTTTCAAAAGAAGAATCAAACCATTGTTACACTGGCTGAGCTTTTGTTATGCAAATTTCATTAAGAGACTGGGACTCTCTCACAGGTTTTTCAAAGAGTCCAACTAAATTTTCATTAGCCCGGCTCCACCCAGGCCTCTGTGACCCCCATCCTCCGGCTGCCTCTGTCTAGACCTGTCCCCCCCGCTCGAGGAGGCAGGGACTTGAGAAGTGGCAGGGTGGGATTCTAAAGGCCCGAGTGTGCTCCAGGCATTGTTGGGCCTGGTGGCTGTCTGTCTGGCCTGTGGAGCGGGGGAGGGAGGGAGAGCGGCAGAGCAGTGGTCCTCGCTGGGTGGAGGGCCCCCATTGTGCTGCGGAGGGGCCGCCAGGCCGCTTGTCTCTGGCGGAGGAGGATGAAGCACCCTCCCAGGGCTGGCTGGCGCGGGAGCTGGGGCCGAGGCTGCTGGGGCCGAGCTCTGACGTATGCAGATCCCCGGGCCTGGCTTCTGGTCTCTGCAAGGACATGGAGATAGGAAGCAGTAGGTGCCACTTGGTGACTGATGCTTCAGCCAGGTTCCGGGGGAAGGACCAGCTTCCCATCCTAAGTCTGGGTTTGCAGCCGAGAGACTTACTATGGGACGCTGGTGTCTGTAAAGTCGATAAAAAGTACCCGTTCCCCGGGCGAGTGCAGGTGCAGAAAAGACCTTCCCCATGTCTCCTGGAGCAGAGAGCTGCCACTCGTTTGGTTTGCCTCCACGGCCACTAACCCTTCTATCTTGTGTCCTGTGCCTACAGGGGGCGAGAACATCAAAAGCATAAACCAGCAGTCAGGAGCCCACGTGGAGCTGCAGCGGAACCCCCCCCCCAACACCGACCCCGGCCTGCGGATATTCACCATCCGGGGGCTTCCTCAGCAGATCGAGGTGGCCAGGCACCTCATAGATGAGAAAGTTGGCGTACGTACAAGGTCCCTTCCCCACCTGGCTTACTAATAGCTGGCTTTTCTGGTGGATGTCGAAGGTACCTGTTTTTCCCCAGAACCTTGTATTTCCTGTGCCTTTCAGCCCTCACGTGACGTGAGGGCCCCCTCTCACTTTGCCGAGGGAGAAGGCCGGGCCCAGGGGAGCCGGGCCCAGGCGCCCTGAAGGGAGCCCTCTGGCAGAGCTCACCAGGCCACCAGCTCAGGCCCTAGGGCCGTGTCCCCTGCAGGCGTAGATGAGCAGCAGCTCAGCCTGCCCCCAGCACTGCCCCGCCGCTGGCGCTGCCCTGGCGGCCAGGCCTGCAGGCAGCTTTCATTGACTCTGGCTTTAGTTGCAGGCACCTCAAAGCAGATAAAGAAAGGGAGTGTTGATGGAGGACAGATTGGCCACTGCTCGCCTCAAAGGGGACGTAGAGTGGCAGAAAGAGCCATGGGCCAGCCTAAATTGACGGGAGAGTCAAGCAGGTTGGTCCCTACCCCCAGGGTGACACACTAGGGCAGATGCGGTGCCAGTATCGGCTGTGTGGTGGTATCGGTCACTCACGGGGCAGAGCCATTTCTGCAAGTCACACCGGCTGTGGGGAAGGCAGGCTAGCACGAGTGCCGTAGGGTGTCTTCCCTTGACTCTGTCTCCCCAAAAGCTGGGGTCTGCCTCGGGGGGCCAGGCAGCTGGCGAGGGCCTCCGACAGTCAGTGAGCGGTCCCCTCTGCGCCACCACAGGGCACCAGCCTCGGAGCACCGGGAGCCTTTGGACAGAGCCCCTTCAGCCAGCCCCCCGCTGCACCTCATCAAAAGTGAGTCTCCCCGTCCATCCCAGCTGGGAGAGTTCAAGAATTCTCTCCTCCCCCGCCCCGCCCCCGCAAGGGCCTCCTTTCCAGCTCCTGCCAGGCAGTGCCAGCCGGAAGCCTGAAGTTCCGGGTGCAGGTGGACTCCGCTCTCCCTCCCACCCTGGTCCCTCTGGCCGGTCTGTAGCTCACTGACTGGAGCTGGGCAGAGAGCCTTCCTGGGGGCAGAGAGTCTGGTCACCGATGGCATCTCCGAAAGGGTGCTCGCCACCTGGGGCTGAGGGACGGGACGTTTTTACAAAAGCCCTTCCACTGTTGGGTCCTCCACCCTTTGACAATTTTTTTTCCCCACTTTCTTTCAGCACCTTCCCTCCAAGGAGCTCAGGGTGCTTCCCAAACATTGCTGCTAAAGTCAACGGGAACCCCCACAGTGCCCCTGTGAGGTAGGGGCCCGCTCTCACTCCGTCTGTGGTTCCCACTCAGGATGAGGGTGGTGGTCCCCCGGCCACGCCCGGGGGCCGCTGCACTTGCCTGGGGGAGGGGTGAGCAGTACAGTGGCAGGCGGCAGCGGTGGCGGGAGGCGGGCTGCGGCGAGGAGGGCTGTGGCCCGCACTAGAACGAGTGACTGTCCTCCACAGTGGTCCCCCGGCTTTTCTGACCCAGGGCTGGGGCAGCACCTACCAGGCGTGGCAGCAGCCAGCACAGCAAGTCCCAGGTGAGAGTTTCCCCGAGGGGTGCCCCCCCCCCACACTTAAAAGGTTCCAGGGGCCGGTGCACCTGAAACGGTCTCTTCCGACGTTGCCAGTAGGCTCAGGCCCTTCCCAGAGATGTCAGGGAGCCGCCTAGGATTCGGGAGCTTCTATGCCCTGCCTGCAGCTGGGCAGGGGCAGAGGGGGCTGGCTCTTTGCCGGCCCACCTTCTCAGACCTTTCTTTCCTATCTTGTCCTCCTCAGACTGGGTCAGAAGGGCCCGCTGGCATCGGAGGGCGGGGCTTGCTGAGCCCCTCCACCCCTCACTTGCGCTCTGCCCCTCACCCTGAGCACCCCTGAGCAGCCTCTGCATGCTGGGTCCCCTGTCCCTCCCTCCATTTGGCTGAAAGGTGACGTCTCCCTCTCCTTACCAGCACTGTCTTAGAAAGGGGCGGCTCCTGTCTCCCAAACTTTTCAGAAAGAGCATGCTGGAGAGAGCTCTGCTAAGTGACTGAGAAAACTGGAAGAGAAAGTTCTCGTGGGAGTCGAGCCCACTCCCCACGCCCCAGCCGACAGGAGCTCTAAGCCTCGTTCTCAAGCCTGTTGCTGGCAGAGCCCGTTTTGCACAGCCTGCGAAACAAAAGAGCGTGTGTAACGGCACGCGCGTGGCGGGGTAGCGGGAAGGGGGGGCGGTTCTCGGCGTGTGTGTAGTGTCCTGACTGCACGGCAGACCACAGGCCAGGCCGCACAGCTGAGCTCACCGGGACCAAGGCTGGGGCCTGGGGCTGCACCTTCCCCATTGAGCAAAGTGCTGCGGGGCGACCCTGGTCAAGGTCACAGTTAGGGGAGACCCGCAGGCCCTGGAGGCCAGCGTCATGCAGTCTCAGGCACATTCCGGCTTCTCTGGGCTCCAGTTTGGGCATCTGTGGAATGAAGGCTGTGGGTCTGACTCCTGAAGTGTCAGCAAGCTCCGAAATTGCATGCTTGTATTTTTTTCTTTTCTTCTGCCATGTTTTCTTATTAAATGTCCTAAACATACAGAATATTTTTTAAAACTTCACTGTGAACAGCTACATACCACAGAGATTCTGCTGTTCCTTGTCACTGGAGTCACTTTATCCCAGAGCCTGTCATGTTTTGTTTCCTCCTGTTCCTACGGTTGGAGGGTGGCTGCAAGATATGGGTGCCCTGGGCTGACTCCCTATTGTTCCACCATCCAGGACGGGGCCTGTGAGAGGCCCTAGACTTGGGGAGCACATCTTCACATTGAAGCCCAGGGACGCCTGTCCTCCCTGAGGGACACGGGCCTTGGGGGGCGTGGCTCTGCAGAGGCCCGGCCCGCGGGCGGCCCAGGCAGGCCGGAGGCGCTGGACGTTTGGGCTGAGGAGGGAGACACGGTGTGTGCCTGGCTTCTGGCCTCTGTTCACCAGCTTCCGTCTTCTGGGGAGCTTTGTTGGTTTATTCAGGGGGGTTAGAAGTTGAGGATTGGGTTTGGTCAGTGAAATCTTGTTTTAAAGAAAAGTCCTGCTGGTGCACACTCCGTGCTTGAGGGAAGACATCTGGCCGCCTGCATTCTTCACGCCTTTCCCCAAACTGGGTCCCTTTGCCCCTGGTGCCCTGGTCTGACTCCTGCCGGCCCTGGTGGGAGGGCAGGGGGAGAGGGGCACCCCACTTCCGGAGCCTCCCCGGCGCACACCCTCACCACCCTGGTCCCCACGCCCCTCCGCCATCCTCAGCGCATTCGCTCGCAGGGGCGCGGCGGCTGGCCCGCCCTTTGTCCCACTGCAGGCTGGCACTGAAGACTGGACCTTGAAGGGGCCTCAGCAGGTGGCACAGGCAGCCTGACCTGGGCAGCACACAAGGTCCTGGCTTGTCACAGGGTCACCGGTTAATGCTCTTTATGCGCCTGCCCCTGCTACACAGAGTAGGCACGGGCTTGTGCGGGAAGGAAAGGCAGGAGCAAGCCCACACCCCTGCCCCTGCACCCGCCTCAGGAGGCGGAAGGCTCGGTTGTGTCAGGTGCGTGTTGTGGCCGGCAGCCCCTCCCTGTGGGGACTTTGTCCGTCTTCACCTTGAGCTCAGTTTCCCAAGTGCGCGCTACGGTTCTGCTTGTGCAGAGGTGACGCCGTCAGTTTCCGAACAGAAGGGACGGTGAAGAGTGTACCCAGCGCCATTCCATCTGTCCCATTTGAAGGCCCATCCAGGGAGCTTAGCCGACAGTCCACCTCACCACCCGCTCGGGCTCTGCTCCCCTGCAGCTCCAGCCCCAGCCTTCTGGGGGTCCTGGTGGCACCCATGCCCCCACCTGGCTTGGGTGGAGGCCCTCTTAGGTGTCAGTGTAGCCATCTGCTGCGACCTTCCTCCCCGGCCACGGGGCCCAGAGCCAGCCACAGCGGGGTGCGGCCTGGGGGCGATCGCGTGAGCGCAGAGCGGGGCCTGGCGTCGCGGCCAGGCCGAGGCCGCAGGGAGGCCCGGAGGCCTGACTGCTTTTGTGTCCTTCGCACAGGCCAGCAGAGCCAGCCGCAGAGCAGCCAGCCCGACTACAGCAAGGCCTGGGAAGACTATTACAAAAAGCAGAGTGAGTGCGCCAGCCCTCCCAGTGACCAGGCCCCGGCCCCAGACCCCCACAGCCTTCACTGTCCGTGGCTCCCAGTTGCCTCGTCCCTTTAACGCTGTCTGCGTCTGACTCGGTCTGGATGCTCCCGTCTGTCTCTGCCCATCTGTGTACCTGTCAGGGGGCACGGGACAGCCGCTCACCTTCCCCCCTCCGCCGCCGCTCTCTCCCCCTTCTGGATTCTGGAGGGCGTTGCACCTCAGCTGGGTGACCACTCACCGCTGTCCTGGTTGCCTGTAGAACTGTGTGGCCGAGACGCAGAGCAGCCATGTCCTGGTCCCTGACTGTCTTGCCGCCGCCCGGGTCTCTCTGGCCAGTTCAGGGCAGATGAAGAGAAGACAAATGGTGGGGCTCAGGGGAGGGGGCCTGCGGCTAGAGTGGGTCTTGAGGTGATTGTTTTTATTAAGCTCCTTTTCTTAAGAAACTACTTTGTTTGTTTGTTTAATGGAAGAAAAAACGTTAACAGTAACAACCCAGAAAGCCCAGGTGAATCATTTCACATCAGCCCTAAATTCTCCGTGTATGTTCCAAAACTGCAGAGCCCAGCTGTCTGGGCGCTGTGGCTCACGTAGCTGGTTGGATGAGCTCAGTCAAAGGCCATCAAAGAAACGGCCGCCCTGTTTGAGTCGTCACTGAGGGTCATCGCCACCTGGAGCGCCTGGTGAAAGTCTGGGTGTCTGGTCCCTCCAGGTCGCCCAGTCCTGTGTCTCCCGCCCACTCACACCCAGGCCAGGCAGACAGGTGCAGAGGACGGGACTCTGAAAAGACGCCCGTGAAGGCCCTGCAGGGCGGAGTGGAGAGTGGCCGTGAGAGGCTGGCTGGACTTCCCACGCCCTGCCCTCCACCCTGTGTCGCCAGCCTCCCGGGGAGAGAGCCCTGGCGCCTGAGTCTTTAGGGAAGGACCCCTCCCAGTGTCCTCCTCTCCTCTGGGCACAGCCCCGCCCCTGACGAGGCCTGTTTTCTCTCCGTCCTCCAGGTCACGCTGCCAGCGCTGCTCCGCAGGCCAGCTCCCCGCCGGACTACACGATGGCCTGGGCAGAATACTACAGGCAGCAGGCTGCGTTCTACGGGCAGACATTAGGGCAAGCGCAGGCCCACAGCCAGGTGTGTAGCCAGGGCCCGCGCTGCTGAGACCCCCGCCCAGGCCTAGCCCTGACCCCAGCCCCGCCCAGGCCCCTGCGTCAGCCCGGCCCCAGCGCCCTCAGCGTGGCCCCTCCTCGCCCCAAAGAGAATGAGTCTGAGCCAAGCAGGAGAGGAAGTGGGTGGGCAGCCCCTCCGAGGAAGTGCCTGGTCTCCCCTCAAACCCAGGCCCTAGACCGCAGAGCTCAGTGGCACTCGGTTCTCTCTCTGGGCCTCAGTGTCCCTCACTGTAAACAGGAGGGCCGAGCTTGGCCCTGGGAGCAGTGACTGTGGCGCTCACACCTGCTGCTGCTCTCGGAGCGGCTGCTGTGGCCAGGCTGCCGCCGCTGCCACCGTCCTCCGTGGGCAGCGAGGGGTGGCAGGAGCAGGGCCGGTCCGTGGCCTCTGGAGGCAGGGCGCGGCGGGGTGGGGCGGAGCGCCAGGCCTTCCTCGGCTGGCCTGGCCGCGAGGGCTCTGCCCAGTCAGAGGCCAAGGATGGGTCTGTTGTGTGTGGGCGGGTGGGGGGGGGGGGGGGGCTGGTGCTGGGGATCCCCGCAGACAGTGTGTCAGTGAGCAGCGGCCTGGGCCGAAAGCCGATTGGCCCTCTCCCTGCCAGACTGGCCCCTGGTGCCTGGGGGCAGTGGAAGCAGGTGTCCTGGCTGGTGGGTGGCCCCGAGGAGAAGTATCAGGAGCTCACTCTTCTCCCTCCCCAGTAACCCCTACAGAGAGACCTAGGACCCTCCTGTTCAAGCGCGGTTCAGTCTGGGCCAGAGCCCCTGTAGGGGAAGGGGTGCGGGGGGAGGTGCCGAGGCAGCGCCGGGGTGCCGGTGCGCCTGCCGGTGCCCTGCCCTGCTGTAGAGCCAGAAGGGAGGGGTGCCAGGTCGCCCCTGCCTAAGACAGAGCCCCAGACCTGAGACAGCCCTGGGGAGGGCGCTGCCGCAGGCTGACCGCTCTCCCCTTCCTCCCACAGGAGCACTAGGACAGTGACGCGTGGCCCCTCCCCGGGATCAGTGTGAGGAAAACCTGTTTGTAACAGAGGTTTTTAGATTTGCAAACCTTTTGATGAAGAACCTTTGTTTTCTGTGAAACACTATTATTAACACAATTTTTCTAAAAATCAAGAAATCAGTCACTAAAAATTGCTGATAATTTCTGTTATTTCAAGTGTGGAAGCTCTGGGATTTTTTGGAGCACTATCTGCAAATCCAGGTAGCAAAATGTGCCTCAGAGCAGTGACATTTCAACTGGTGTGTTTTTGTTTTTGTTTTTGTTTTTTGAGTGTCTTTTTATTTACAGTTGTTTCTGTGGCAACAGAAAGTGGCTTGGAAGTCTTAGGTGGTATGTAACAAATTATTTTTAAAAATTTTTAAACAATATTTAAATGTTCTTAAATGTGTAAATTCATTAAATGTTTTACTTCTAATTTCTTGTATTTTGGCTGTCTGGTGTTATTGCATTTTTTTTTTTAAAAAAACAACTATTATGTATTGTAATTAATTATGTGAATTCTGAATTGAGACAGAGAATTGTATCGCTGTCCAACAGGGATTGGGAGGGGGCATTTTATAGGGTTTGTATAATTTCTAGAGTTCTAAGGGTAATATAAAAATGTTAGCATATTTTTTCATGTCTCCATCACCAGTTCCAATTGTGTATCTAAGACCTCCAAGCTTGTTTTAAAAACAAAACAAAAAACCTTTCTCTATTCTCTCAGAAATATAAATTGTGTTATTTTTAATATTAAAAAGAAATTCAATATAACTTTTAACACTGTGGAACATTAAACTGCATAAAAATGTAGTAACTATTTTTTAATTCCAAGGCATTCTTTGTGTTTTTCTTTTAAATATTTTTTAATATTTGTCAAATTAACTAGATGGATAAATAAATCTAGTATTAACCACAATATGAATTAAGTAATTTTGATTTAATAAAAGGGATAATATTTCCAATGTTTACTGTAGTTTATCTTGTACAGATAACATGTATTTTTAAAGGAAAGAAAAACAGACTTGAAGCTATTTTTTTCCCGCATTTTTGATTGACCTGGGAGACATTCCGTTGGAAATGTACTGAGGATAGTGTTTCCTTGTTTTCCTTATTAAATGCTTGAAATGTCTAACTATTAAAAAAGGCTGATGGAAATGTTATGCATGTTGTTTTTAAAAAAAAAAAAAAGTGGTCTTTTTTTTGGACTGACAATTCATTTTACACTCTATAATAAAATTCCCACAAGACATCTTGTGGGTGAAGTATTTTGAGTCTGTTGGCGTTCATTCGCGTGTCCCTGCCTCTGCCCGCTGCCTGCTGCCCCCAAAGCCAGAAGCAAGGGTTCTTAGCCGGTCACCTGTCAGCCTGTCACCCCAACTCTGTCAGCGCACGACCTGGATTTCTAGCTACTTTGTTAAGCTAATTTTATTTTAAAGGCTTAGTATAATTCAACAGTTAGACTTCACAGCCTAGGTTACTGTCAGCCCCTCCCTCTTACCTGTCGTCTCAGCGTCTCCCTTGACGTGGGTGTGGCCCGGTGGAGTCAACAACAGCTTCCCTGGCGGAAGTGGATTTGGAGGAGTCCTTGAAGGCGGGGGCACCACACAGAGGCGGTGATGAGCATGCTTCCCCAGAGCCCAGTCGCACCGCCCCCCACCCCTCCCCAAGCCTCTCCCGTGCCCGCCTGAGAAATTAGGACTAGACTCGCCGGGGCCTCTTGGCCTCTTGGCTGGCGGCAGCCTTCCACTGTGGCCTGCCAGCTGTCTCCGGCTGCAGCTCCTGTGACGCACTCCCGCCCTGTCCCTAGCACTCAGCCTGTGGCTGCGTCGTACCTGCTACGGGGCGCTGGGTTGCCAGGAGAGCTGAAAAGCGCCAGCAAGGTGCTCGTTTTATTTCGCTGTTTTCATTAAGGGAACCGAAGAGGGTGTCCTTACCCATAGGTTTAAATCCGGGGGGTTGGGGGGTCCTGTGGTTTCAGGACACACGAGGACAGTGTGGACCCTGGACTAAAAGGATATTGAGGAATAAAGATCAGCCTCCATCTCCTTTTCCCCCTTCCTCTCCTGTGGCTGGAAGCAACTGGCTTTGGACCCAGCTCTTGAATACTTGAGCTCGCCCTCTGCCGCTGGCTTCGCAAGTGCGTCATCCTTTCATTTAGATGCGGGATGCTGGCAGGATCCTTTTCGGAACACTCCCTTATGGCGCGTGTGCGTGTGTGCGTGTGCGTGTGTGTGTGTGTCCAATTCTGGTCCCTTTCTTTTTTCTACCCAAAGCTCTAAGAGGAGGGGGAACAAGCATCTGTGGCTCCTTTAGGCCAAAAAGGGGAGCAGAGAGCAGCCCATCTGCAGCCGTTCTGGGGCCTGTGAGAGCCGGAAGACAAAAAGGAGAGAGGGCATCTTTAACTACACCTCTAGAGAATCGAGTTTGACGTTGAGAAATTGAATAGTAAAAGCCACTTGAAAAGAAGGAGGGGGTTGAGCAAGAGGAAGGCATAAACGCTGATGATGGGGATGGGAATTAGGGAGAGGGCATTACAGAGAAGACTTCCTTCTAATTCATCTTCCAAGCTCCGTGCCAAAACAGCATTTGGCATGGTTCACAGGGAGCGATTGTGTGATAATGAACCCTAAGGTGTCCCTTAATTGAAGACTGAGCATTGCGGTTTGTGCCAAGAGTCATAAATGGTGCAGGCTTGCGGGAGGATGCATTTTCTTAAATGTATCGGTAAGTACAGATTAGCGCTTGTCCCCAGTGAAATGCCCATACTATAAATTATGGAAATCTCTCTCCCTCCCTCTGATGCAACCTTTTATCGAGGGGGGGACGGTGGGGTGCAATACAGCAGGAGGCGGGGGGAAAGTTTGCAAGCATATGAAATTTGGCCTCATTAACATGGCGCCCACAGAAGATGGTTTTCATCAGCAGTCTGGTGTCCTGGAAGGCTAAAGTGCTCGAAATGTACCAAGTTCAGCGATTGTGTTCCATTAGGAAAGCTGCGTGGTCATCACTGAAAGGACAGCCTGTGTGTTTGGGGAGGCAGGGGGCGGGGCGGGGCGGGGCCCAGTCTGTCTGGCAGTTCCCACCCTCCAGCGCACATGCACACTAGGTCTCTGCCAGCCACCGGAGTTCACCATTCAAGGATCCTGCGGGGCAGTTTCCAACCCACCCAAGCCTGGGGCCCTGGGGTGGGGAATTCTCTAGCCAGTGTGTCTCCGTCAACACCCTTGACCTGTCATGAGCTGGGAGGACCTGCCTTTCCAGTGTCTCTCTCAAACGGTGACGATTCCTCAAGCCCGACAGCCCCACAGTAGGGTTGGCTGGGGCCCGGAGGACCCCTTGCAGGGCCTGGTCCGAGAGGACGCTGGGACGCCAGGGAGACTCGGCTTCTAGCTGGCTGCAGCGGCGCAGCTTCCTGAGCCCCGGCTCTGGCCCGCTGGGGCCCAGCTGGGGTTCTTTGAGATGGGCTATTGCAAATGGTCCTGATAGACTCTTAGAGATTGATGGCCAGAAAGCGGCTTGACATCCAATTCCGCAGGGGGTGCTGGCCCTGTGTCTGTGTCTTGCGTGGGGTAGAAAGGGAAGTGAAAACGAACCTCTGAAGCAATGGGAATCCTTGCTGGCCTTTGTCCTGAGGGTCTCTTAGGAGCATCTACCAAGGGAGTTCTTACCCTTTCCAGGCATCTCCTTTGACAGGGTCTTCACACCTTAGGGCGTAGACATGACTAGTCTCCCCATCTTACAAAGGAGGGTTCCCAGTCAGAAGCCTAGTGTGTAGGGGCCAGTTCTGTGCCAACTTCTATAATGCACTCAGTCCAGGGCCTCCATCGAGAGCACAGCGGCTGCCCACAAGCAGGGGCAGGTCAAGCAGGGGACACTGCAGTCAGCACCAAGCAGAGTGACTTGACAGGACGGAAACGGCCCTAAAAAGTTAGCGACATGCGCCAACCATGGACCAGGCCCTATATGTGCATTACAGTCATTTTTTTTTTAATGGAGAAGTTATAATTTATTTATACAATGGAATATTATAGTGCATTGAAAATAAATGAGCTACCATCACATGCTACAACACGGATGAATCACACAAACGACATGGGCAGCCGAGCCCTGCCTGGTGTGCTCTGAGAGCTGAGGGGTTGCCAGTTTGATTCCCGGTCAGAGCACATGCCCGGCTGGCGGGCCAGGACCCCAATTAGGGGTGCGTTAGAGGCAACCGAAGGATGTCTCTCTCCCACATCAATGTTTCTCTCCCTCTCCCTCTCCTTTTCCCTCCCTTACCCTCTCTCTAAAAAATGAATACAACATTTTTTTATAATGTTGAGCTGAAGGAGCCAGAGCACGTACACTATGACCCCACTTACCTAATGGCCAGTGACAGAAGTCAGAACAGCAGTTGCCTTGGGCTTGCAGTGGTTGGGCAAGAGCACGAGGAAGGCTTCCGGGCACCGGTAAGGGCCTGTGTCTTGGCCTGAGGGGAGTTGCATGAGTGTATTCGCTTGGAGAAAATTCGTGGATCTATACACTTGTGTGCATTTTTCCATACATATGTTATCAATATACTTCAATGTAAGCTTTAGTTTTAAAAATGGATGATCTCTATAGGTTTCTCTTAAAAATGCGGTCCATTGATCTGACACTGTTAAAGGTCCGGGTTCCTAGACTCCAACCCGAACTCAGGGAATCACGTTGTTTGGGAGAAGGGCACAGGATTCTGCATCTAAGCCAGCTCCCTGGATCACTCTTGTGTAGGCTGAGGTTTGAAAGTCATGGTGGCAGAAAATACTTAACACTGGGAAAATAATAGCTAAGAGTGGGCTCTGGAGCCAAAATGCCTGGTTCAAATCCAGCCTCTGCCATTTAATAGCAGGGTGACCCAGGGAAGGTACTGCCTCAGCTTCCTCAAGCAAAAATGAGAACAATAATAATACTTCTCTAAGATGGTTGTTGTGAGGACTAGATGTATACATGTAAACTGCTTAGAATAGCTCCCAACACATAGTATGCACTATATCCATGTTAAAAAAAGAATAAATAAAAAGGATATAAATAGAGTAATTCTATTTTTGGAAGACTATATAAATATCGAAGAATTTATAGCAAACACATACAAATGACCGGAAAGATACAAATCCGAGTGTGAACAGTTTCATCTCTGGATTATGCGGTTATTGTTAATTTTTATTTTCTTTTCCTTTATCATCTAATTTCCTATAATGAAAACATTTCTTTATTAGGAAATGTTTTTGAAAGTTAGTAACTTAAGGTTTACTTAATTTGTGATGTTCACATTTCTTCAGGTCCTCTTAACACTACGGATAGATCAGCGATCCCCAACATTTTGGCGCCAAGGACCGGTTTCCTGGAAGACAATTTCGACGCCAATGTGTGTTTGTTTGGGGGTGGGGGGATTCAGGGTGATTCAAGAGCATCACATTGAAGCTCACCTCCTGCTGTGCAGCCGGGTTCCCAGCAGGCCCAGATGGGGACTGGCCCGCAGCCCCGAGGTTGGGGACCCCTGGGAGAGATGACGGCATACCGTGGGGGAAAACCTTTTCGAGCAAACTACACAGGATATTACTGGAAGTTGTTACTGCGGAAGCAGCGAGACTGCCTCCACGAGATGATTGAACAAACCACTGCAATGGGAACAAGTGAAGGAAGGGACCGAGGCCACGTGGGCGTAGGAGCGTCTCTGAGCAACCCCCCTGGCCTCCAGCTCTCAGGAAGGGGGGACCCCTTCAACGGGGTTCACTACTATCGCCATGGGAACCCGCAGACGCTCCCTGGCCTTCCACGCTGCAGTCACTCTATAGCTGCTGGAAGGAAATCCACTCCTCGGTGTTGTAGGAAGCCAACAGAGGTGTCGAGGGTGACAAAGCCCACCCACAGCAGGAACGTCCCTGAGAAAAACAGAACTCGACGAGCGTTTACTTGCCCGATACCTGCCTTTTCTTTTTCTGACCTCGCCCCTCGTTTCTCCTGTTCTTACCTTGCTGAACTTCTTCCCCAAGCCCCAGCCTTTCAGCTTGAATGGAGGTGGTTCTCGGAGCCCCTTGGTCCTGCTAGAGGCCCTGCGCTTGACCTCGGCTCCGTGGAAGGAGGCTGCCCCTTGCCCCGTGGAACTTCAGGGCCACCCTGTCCTGTCCTGGACCCCCCTTCTCAGACCGGAAGCGTGTGCCAGGCCGCCCGCCAGGCCGCTCAGCCCACAGCCCCAAACCTCAGGGATGTGCGCATGCTC